TGAGGTGCTTTAATGTGGCTGTTGAAAAGCATATGTATGGGTCCCACTACAAATTTGGCATGTTCCTAAAGTTGGGCTAATGCGGCCCGATTGGAGGGCTAAAGGGCCAAATGTGACCCTCCAAATTTAGCCCAAATTTTGTTTAGCCCATGGCTGGAGATGAGTTTTGCATGATTTTAGGGCTTGGATATAGCCCATGGCTGGAGATGGCCTAAGTTCTCATGGTTTGTATATGCAGTTATTTTTTCTTTTCTTTTATTTTGTTTCCACCTTTTGTGCTTCTTATTTTATCTCTTTTTAGCGTTTTGTTTGGGTTTTGTTGGCTAGTTATCTTTTCTTGCTGTTCATTTGTGTCCTTTTAGTTTACTTGTTTTTAACTTTTTAGTTTGTTTTATTTATTATCTCATTTTTTGCTTTTTTTTTTTTTTTTTTTGGTTTGAATTTGTGTTTGTTGTAAGTTTCTGGTGCTGTCCAGATTTTATTGATGTGCAGATTGAAGGGATGTTCAGGCTTCCCTCTTTTCTTGTTGTTTCTCTTTGAGTTGTTCAGGCGCAAGTCTGTTTTAAGATCACGCATTTATTCATGTCTCTCATGTTTGAGTTTTGGATAGTTTGATTGTTTTCAGTGCTATCTTTCGTACACTCTTACGGTACTTATTATTTTTTAATAAAGCATCTATTCCAACCAAAAAAAAGAAAAACAAAAGCCTACACTCTTCAATTGGGCCAAAAATGGAAGGACGCTAATCCATTGGACTTTGGGTTCTCTCCAGATTGGTTATAATGTGGGCCTTATATTGCAGCCCATTTCTTTTATTGATCTAAATCATATTTATCTAGAAAATAGTACACAAGTCGGTAGGTAGGTTTGGGAGAACCCTTCATTAATAAACTCTCCGATAATTGAAACTAGCCCCTTGGTTAATAAACTCACGCGTTTGCCAATTGGGTTTTCCTTTTTTTCTCTTTTTTGTCTAGAATTGAAAATGATATTGTATACTTGTGTTTTATAAAAATAGGATTTATTATCTGATTTAATTTTTAATTTTTAATTTCTTTAATATGAAATAAATATGAATTTACCATATTATCCTCATTTAATTAATAATTTTAATTCTTAATGTTTGCATTAATCAATAGTATTTTCTGGTATTTTGAATGTTTCATCATCTCCGACTTTTGCTATATATATATATATATATATATATTATAAATAAATAAATAAATTGGAAATGTGAAAAAAAAAAAAAAAAAAGTAAATGGGTGAGTAGTTGAGGACCGTTAGATAAAAACATGGGGATTCTACTCTCATCTCCCAATTTGTTGGGTTTTATTTTATTTTATTAATATTATATAATTAATAATATTTAAATGTGCTAAATTTTGTCTGGTTTGACTAAAGGGAAACTTCTAGAAGCGAAAGCGTGGGTGGGTTGGACGGTTTAAAAAACATTATCCGTGAGCGTTTCACGCACACGTGACAGGACGACCCTCGTCACTATTATCCCAAGAAAAAAGAGATTAAACAATGATTACAACGCAAAATAAGCTTTTAATTGAGTGATTAGACAGGCATTAATAAAAAAAGCACGCTTACTTGTCTAGGCGTGGAGCTAATTCGTCACTGTTTTTTTGATAAATTTTGTGACGGTTTTATTTCACGGTAAAAATATTTATTAAAAAAAGAGAAAAAAGCTCCCAACGGTTTCGTAGAGCTTCTTAACACTTCTTTAACCCACACGCGCACAAACAGCACAAGCGCGAGCCTTTGAGAGAGAGGGAGAGTTTTAGAGAGAGAGAGAGAGAGAGCTTGGGGTTGGGGTGTTTTGGCTGTGTGTGTGTGAATTCTCTGCGGGTTGCAGTTGCAGACATGGATAGCAAAGTGGATGAGGTTTCTGTAGAGCTCTCAGCTCCTCCTGCTTGGAAGAAGAAGGTCTCTTCTCTCTAACACTCTTTTTGCTTACTCAACCAAATTTTATTTGTTTATTTTTGGGTACCAACCAGCCCTATTTGCATGCTATGAACTGTTCTTGTAGCTTTATGTTTGCTTCTAATTCATGGGTATTTTGTTTCTTTTTGGGTTTTGGGTGCTGGGGTTGGTATGATTTTAGCTCTGTTTTTTCTTAATTTGCTTCAATTTTTTGCTGTTTGTTAGTGCTATGTGGTAGAACTTTGTCTGAAATTGCTTGCTTTCAAGGGTAGGGCTTTTTATGCTTTTTTTTTTGGTTTGCAAATTAATTTCTAATTCAAGGCAGTAATTTATGGATGCCCAAATAAGGGCAGTAGCTTTTAAGGGATGGGCTCTTGACTTGGCGTGTGCTGATTATAGTTGTAAATTTTTGGTCTCTTGTTAGTGTAAAGTGTTTACTGAATTTGGTGATTGTCCAAAAAGTGTCGGTGCAAAATATAGGAAGGCTTCTTTTGGTGAAGTATTCTGGATAAATACTTTACGCGAATACATATATGCCAAGGAATATATATATAAATATGTCCAGTATTTTTATTTATTAGTGTTATTATTATTTCAGCAAAGTTATATTCCCTGGTAAAAATGCTTAATTTGTCCTCTTAAGATATAGGAACTGCTTTATCTGTATGGAACCCTAGCTGGACTTTGTTAAAGGTTACATCATATAGATCAAGTACTTTTTGTTGGCAGTTTGTGTGAATCTCTGTTAATATGTTGAAAAATTCTTCCTCTTGGAATTAAGTTGGAGCTAGTTATGTATAAAAGAAATGTAATTCTATAAGTTCAGTAATTGGAAGGTCTTGGGAAATAAATAGTAGCTGAATATTATTTGTTCTAGATAGATCTTGGTGGTTTCCTTCACATTTACAAGTATGGTAGACTTACTAGAGGTGAGCTTGAACTTAGGATCTTTTTATTTTTTTCAAGTAACGAGGGAAACCCCCATGAACTATTCCCTTGTTGGGTACAAAGTCTTATGGCAATCACCCATAAACCGCATATCCATGAACTATAAGTTTTCTTCAATTTGGCACCCTCGTGATTACCAAACCCAGATTTTCTTAAAAATTTGCACTCCTGGTGATTCCATTTCTATTGATAGGTGCTTGCTTTGAACGTTTCCAAAATAAATTTTTAATCATATCCCGGTTCGATAGGCTTCCTTTTGTTATGTTTTGGGTAGATTTGATTCAACTAGGTTATGACTGATTAGTCAATCTGTTAATTGTCCGCCATTAATGAATATAACTGATATGGTAATCAAATCATGTATTATCATCTGATATGGAATTTCTTTGTAGCCTCACTTTGTAGAAATCTATGGATTCAAAACCTACAACCCAATTATCGCTGTTACACTGTCACAGAAAGGTTATTAAACAACTTTTAGGCTTAGGGGAATTCCAACTGTTGTATAATTGCTAGCTGCCTGGTCAGATAGAATTATGATGAGAAATCCCATTAAATTAGTGCACAAATTTTGGTTTTTCAACTGTATGCCACGCGAACTTCAAAACATGTTGTCTTACCCTGCTTTTGCCAATTAAATCCTAATAAATGGCTGTCATTGACCTCTAATGGTTGCCCTAGGTAACGGCACCCAGCTGAGAGCCCGAGCTAGCAGGTTTAGCTTAATCTGATCTCTGCCTTGGGTTATAATCGCCTCCTTTGAAGTCCTTTATAGTAGACATTTGACGGGCACAATCTTAAAGTATTTTGGGTTTAACAACAACACTATTTGTTTCTTCCGAAGTTTGTATATCAGTGTTCAGTGAAGCACCGATACTTGATGATTTAGGCCCGAAAGGATTTGGTTGTGTCCCTTTTATGTGTCTCAGAACTTCATTTAGAATTAGATAGTTGACATAAGCGTGGGAGAATAGCACTATACCTAGTTTATAACAGTCTTTTGCTTACTTTTGTGTGTGATTTTAATTGATTGTAGATGGATGAGATGATTCACCTCAGTATAACTAAAAATTCTTAAGAAGATAGGCTTTTCTAGTCATTATGTTGTTGACGCTATTTCAGAAGTAACCTGAGTTCACCACACGGAGAGGGTATTGCTTAGATGTGAACCTTGCAGACCTCGTTGGTTTCATTGAGTAGGATAGCTGTATTCAACTTTCTGTTGTACCATAAATCTGGATGACAACTCATTAAGAATAAATAATAAGATTGAATCCAGCAACATAAGTCTTTTCCTTCTGCCTTATGTTATCTTGTTTGAAAGTAAAACATGAGGAATTGAAAACTTCATTCCTCAAAATCAATGTATGTTCTACCTGCATGCCTAGTATGCTCTTGTATTTCTCGTATTGATTAGGTTCCATGCCTTATGACGAAAGGGGAGTCAGCGAGCTTGTTGTAGTCGGTCCTAAAACGAGAACCCTGTTTCTGCATGACAAAATTTCCTCTTGTTTAATTGGGATTAATTTTGTGAAAAAGTATTTAGCAGTTGAGAGTCAAGGTCTGCGAGTTGTGATTCCTAGTGAACTCTTTGTCTCCCTAAGGACAAGAAACTAGGTAAATTGGCATGCTCTTTGCTAACCTTTGAATGAAAATAGGGCCAGAATGTGATCTACATAAGGATAATCTGGTTTTTGATGGTTAACCATAGATTTTCATAAATATTTGAGATCTATAAGAGACGAACCTCTGCTACTTTCTAACCATTGGGCAAAGAGTATTTCTGGTTGAAATATTTTCTTGCCTATATCATATAGTGCTTATACCTAAGATTGACCATTTAAACAGGAACTTGGTTCTCTAACACCTTTTATGTTATTCATAAAATTAGATAATTGTGTTAAGTTGAATTTGAAATCCTTTATGCTTTGATTTGCTGATATTTCCTATTTTTTCCATTCCGTCATATGTGTATATGTTTACTTTATACAAAGATGCATGTGTTTGTTAAAATAAGAAGAGGTGAAAATTGATGCATTTTATTTTTGCGCTATATAAAGTGTTCAGCTATATAGGAAACCAATGTTTGCACTGACAACATGTGTGTAATTTTGGGGGAAGACAAAAAGGGTCATTGTCCTAGCAATACAGTTCAGATCATATAATTTAAATTTAAATACTGCACCCTTTATCTTCATTCTTCTACTTCGTATAATCCCAGAACTCTCCCCTTGGTTATATTCTTGTCTCTCTTGAAAGTTTTAAAATAAATTTGCAAACTTATGAAATCAGACCTAAATGGTCTTAAAACATAGAGAAGCAATATCCACAAGTTCCTCTCCCCTCTTTCTCTCCTCTCTCTCTTGCATGTACATGCGTTCTGTATATATGCATTTCTATGTTAAAAAAAATAAAGACAGCCCACTGCATGAGGCTCCTGTAATGTCGGGTTTGACTTTGAGGAGAGCAAGATGTATGCAGCCATACCCCTGTTTTTGTAGAGGCTGTTTCCGGAACTCGATCCCACGGCCATCTGGTTTCTTGGGCAAGCCATTCTGTTTCCTCCAATGTATGTATTGCCTCTAACATTTCTTTCGCTCTATACAGTATAAATCGGTTATATTAATCATGAACAAGATAGTATATACCTTGTGTATATATTGTGTAGCTGCAGTATAAAATTAAAATTGTCGATTGATGTATGAAGGTTGTGAAATAAGTTGGATCCTGATAGAGTGAGGATAAGCAAGTGAGATTCTGTGGAAATTTTGGTGAAAAAAATTATACCATGCCAAGAACTCAAAGGTTGTGATATACAACTGGAGAACTTTCATCAGTAAAATAGTGCTGTAGCAGGTTTACGTCTTAGATGGATGCCAACTACTTTAGAAGTAGACTTTCACATGAAAATCTTCATGGAGGACATATTTGTGATAAAACTTCTTCCAATTGAGTTAAAAACCCAAGTGGAAGTTAAGGTTTCATTTGTCATTGTTGTTTGTTATGGTGGAGAGCCACCTAATGTTGGAGAAGTTTTCTGGTACTCTGGCCATGACAAATTAAATTCTTATCTGACTATTCAAGTACTCTGGCCTGACGTTGCACAAGTTTGAAAGAATTTAATTAAGCTTATCTGACTATTCTGGTATATGAAATCTGAGTGTTCTGGTAAAATATGTGGACAGCCCACTCAAAACAGCTTGTGAAAAGTGAATGATATTCTGGTGACATTGTGAATCGGCTTTTTATCTGGTCCTTGTAATTAGATCACAGTCACTTTTAATACATGCTGCAGAACTCTTTGCCTACCTTTCTATATGTTTCAAACAAGGGCATATGCTTTTCTGAATCCTTTAATATTTAGCTATACCATGCTAGCATTGTTGGAATTACTAAGGATGGTTGATTGAGTTAAGTCAATGTGGTTGTTGTACATAATCCTTGGATATGGGTTTTAACATTTTCTTTCGCTTTGTTTTGCAGTTTTTCCCCAAGAAGGGAGGTACACCAAGGAAAAATGAGATCGTTTTCATTTCTCCAACAGGGGAGGAGATTAATAATAGAAAACAATTGGAGCAGTACTTAAAATCACACCCTGGTAACCCTGCAATATCAGAGTTTGATTGGAGCACTGGTGAAACCCCTAGGAGATCAGCAAGGATCAGTGAAAAGGTCAAGGTGGCTCCGGCACCAGAGAGTGAGCCTCCCAAAAAAAGAGGCCGAAAATCATCAGGTTCAAAGGACAACAAAGTGGAAGCTGCTGGTGGAGAAGTTGATGGTACGAATGAAATTCAAATGAAAGATGCAGAGGTAGCTGAGAAGAGAGATGCAGAAGCTGAGAAAGAGAAAGATGTGGAAGCAGAGAAAGAAAAAGATGCCGACGTTGAGAATGATGATAAGAAAACTCAAGGCGAGGAGAAAAATGAAGAGAAAAATGTTGTAACAGAGGATAAAGCTGCTACTGAGGTAACTAAAAACAACAAAGAAGAGTTGCCACAAGCAGGGGAAGAACAAGCAAATGGAACTAGCGGCAAAAAACAGGATGACACAGCTGCTGTGACTGTGGAAGAAAATGGGGCTGCGGAGAAAGAGAATGTGGATGCAGCAGCACCTCATACGGAGGAAGAGATCAAAGGGAATAACGATGGAGCAGAGAACAGTGGAAAATGCAATGCTGAAGCTGACGAGAAAATCAAGACCAAGGATGGGAAGGTTGTTGAAAATGGCAAGGCTGAGCAAGTGGTGCAAGCTGATGCCCCACAAAATCTACAGACCCCTCCATTGAGCAGCTGAACGTATCTACCACCTTTCTAGTGAGCTGTTGAATGTGCTGTACTACCATTTATCGCACTTAGGATTCTGTGACATCCATTTAACCCTTTTTTTTTTTTGCCCTCCCTTGTTACAGTAACTCCGGGAGTTAAGGATGATATAATGTTAATGTTGTTAATGTTAGAATTTAATTGTATGTAGGGAACCAACCAGTCCGGTAGAAGAATAGGTCTTGTAGTTTCTGCAGCTATAGTTATGCAGTAGCTTAGATTGTAGAATGTAAGAGATCCTTACTGGGCCGGCTGCTTTTTATTTGTTGTAGATGGTCATCAAGTGCGCTTTGTTTGTAAACTTGATACTTTGTTAATGTGGCTGAAGTTTTAAATGTCCTGGGGTGCTTGTGTTTCTCAAAATTGAGTGCTATTTCGGTTTTGGACGAATATGTTTCTTTGCAGTCTGATCAATAAGAGAGAAACGATGATGAGTAGGTATAAGATTATTCTGCAGCTTCATTATGTTATGCAGTTTGGGAAAGATCCGAGAGCATGGTGGAAAACAGAGAACTTTTAATTAGCTCCAGCTTATTAAAAGTTCTAATATATATATATATATTTTTTATAATTCGTGTAACAGAAATATCAAGTAGCTATGAACAATATGCCAAACAGTAGCTATGAATTACGTGATTCTTAGCCTTTAATTTATTACTATAATGATTATTAGTTGTTGCTGATGTCCTTAGTAGCAATGAATGCCAACGGGGTCTAATCTAGTGGAAAATGATCTTAAGTTACCAGTGGTCTTAGGTTTGAACTCATTTTGCACTTGGTAGTGTGTGTGAAAATCACCCCCTTATCCTTATAGTTTAGATTATTGCTTGTATTAAAAATAAGACATTATGAATTTCAAATGCCCCTCTTAATTGAAATAAATCACAAATCTTCTTTCTGAGTGTCTTGCTCATAATTTAATGACCTATTTTTCTATTTCATTTTTCTCTGAAATTTTTTATTTTTTATTTTTAAAAGGAAGCCTTGGAATCTGGTTTGTAAGGACCTTTGTTATATATTTTTATTTTGCAAGCATCAATACTTTTTCTTAATCATACTTATGGGTTTTTTTTTTTTTTTTTTCTGCCCACAATGAATCTTGAAGCATGGACATCCAAAAGGCTTATAATTGCGGCCACTAACATTTTATGTTGAAACCTTTTGCATACATGGGTACTTTTTCTCCTTTCCCACGAAAGGTATATTGAACCATCGATCCCAAAGCCTATGACAAAGAGAAAGAGCCTTTTCAAGAAACAGAGAAAATACCCAGATGGAAACAAAACAAAACCAGAAAGTGGAAAAGGTATACTTTGAGTTTGAAAAAGACAGTTAAAAGTGAGAGTAAAGTAAGAATCTATTCTATGCTCCTCCCCCAAAAAACATTTTGCCACCTTTGCATTAAGGTTAAGAATCTTGCATTCTTTGTTCACAGAATCACAACCTTTGGACATCATCTCTGGACTCAAGGAAGGCTAAGAATCTTGGATCTATGGCCTGCCTGAAGCAAAAGTATTGCATCATCCCAAGGATTGCTTACGCCGGTATCTCGGTTGAGGTTGCCGTTGTTGGTGGGTTACATAACATTATTATTAGGTCATCTCCACTTCCTCTCTACAAATTGAATGCTCCTTCATTGTTGGTAGAACCAGAAAACAAATGGAGCTCTCTTATCTCTGCTTCCTTCTTGTCTTCTCCACCACTACATTTCTCAATGGTAACTACTTCCACTATTTGCTTAAACTTTTAATGTCAAGTAGGCTTTTCGATGAATTGTATGGTCACTTATATTGACTTAACATTTGCTTTCTTCTTATTTTCTCTTCTAATTTGCTTAATATTTTCAAATGTTAAATTATGTGTTCATGTGTCTCATGTGTATTGAAGTATTTGGATAACAGTCTTTGTCTGATGAACCTTTGTATCTTTCTGTTCAGTGGATGCATCTTTTACAGGAACATATGGAGTAAACTATGGCCGGATCGCTGACAATATACCTTCACCTCACAGTGTGGTAACACTTCTCAAAGCCGCAAAGATAAAAAACATCAGGATATACGACGCTGATCACGAAGTCCTCAGCGCGTTCAAGGGATCGGGGATTCAAATAATTGTTGGACTTGGAAATGGGCTCCTGAAAGACATCAGTGTAGCCGAGGATCGCGCCATGAATTGGATAAATGAAAATGTGCAGCCATACATTCCTGGAACTCACATTTCCGGAATAGCAGTGGGGAATGAGATCTTGGGGGGCACTGATGTGGAACTCTGGGAGGCCTTGTTGCCTGCTGCCAAGAACGTTTACAGCGCGCTTCAAAAGCTTGGTTTGGCGAAATCCATTGAGGTCTCAAGTCCACATTCAGAGGCTGTGTTTGCCAATTCGTACCCACCATCTTCCTGCATTTTCAGGGAAGATGTTGCTCAATACATAAAGCCACTTTTGGAGTTCTTCTCACAGATCAATTCCCCTTTCTATATAAATGCATATCCATTTCTGGCTTACAAGAGTGATCCTGAGCACATTGACCTCAACTATGCTCTCTTTAAGAAAAATGCTGGGATTCAGGACACAAAGACTAACCTGCACTACGACAACATGTTCGACGCCATGGTTGATGCAGCTTATTTTGCTCTGGAGAAGGCTGGATTTGAGAAGACAGAGGTCATAGTTTCTGAAACCGGTTGGGCATCTAAAGGGGATGAAAATGAAGCAGGAGCAGATCCCAAAAATGCCAGGACTTACAACTACAACTTACGCAAACGGCTAACGAAGAAGAAGGGGACACCTCATAGGCCAAAGATGGTAGTGAAAGCTTACATCTTTGCTTTGTTCAATGAGAATTTGAAGCCGGGGCCGACGTCTGAGAGGAACTTTGGATTGTTCAAAGCTGATGGGAGCATTTCTTATGACATTGGGTTCACTGGACTTGTAGGTCCTTCTGCAGCATCCTCCTCTCTTCTTAATTACAAGGTATGAGTTTCATATAATTGTCAAACAGTTCTCTGATTTTCCAGTGTTGGTTTGTTTTAATCATTTATCTAAAATGTTGGGTTTCAGGGTCTTGGACTTCGAGGCTGGTTTCAATCTTCACATACGTGGGTTTTCACAAGTTGTGCTGCTGTTCTGTTTTTAATGTTAACATGATGATTAGGCTTATGCTCGACAGCTGAAGGCAGTGTTTCAGGTTCTTAATGTTGTAAAATCTCTCCATGTATAGCCAATTCATTTTCTTTTCTTACATTATGATTCATTGTAATTCATTAACAGTACAATTGCTGACGGCTTTTTTTTAACAAATAATATTCCAGCAGTTTGCAATACTGTCTCTCTTTTTTCTTTGTTACCCTATTTTGGTTACCCCATAACCTATCCTTAATTTTAAATAATCTTATTATCGGAATCTAAAAACTAATGAGGCTCACATATTTTATGGTTTCTTATGTGTTAGTAAACGTAGGGAATTCATGAATTGAAACAAATCAAACGAACTAGATCTTTTGTTTGGTTCCTAATAAATTGTAAGCTCCATTTGAATGGAAGGATTTCAAATATATTGATCTAGATGACATTATAAGGTAAATTTGTTTGTTTAGACTAGTACAATTCATGTATGCCAAGATTTAAGAAAGAAAGAAATGAATTTCAAATGATTCCTTCGTGTAATCATTTCAAATGTAGTACATGTAGTTATTTCAAATAGCTTCAATTGAATGTGATTCTTATTTTGTAGCAAATTTAGCCTTATGCTCAAATCAAAATCCTTTTTTTAAACTAGTTAATTATACTGGTATGTTTCTTTCAGAATATTGAATGATGAGGTGTTAAGTTTGATTTCCCTCTTAAGATAAACAAATAGCAAAATACAATCCTTTTCAATTGTAATAAATAATTGTATATGGTCTCACTAAAGAAATACTTCACTTTTCAAATGATGCACATACTTTATGCACTTTTCAAAGGCTTATTTATTGTAGCATGCCCCTTGAAACTATGGTCAAATCTCACTTTACCCTCTGAAAGTCAAAGTAACTTAGTTTGCCCCCTTTACCAAGGTTTGTTTTTCCACTTTGCCCCTTACCGTTGACTCCATCCAAAAATATGTTAAAATTGATGACGTGACATGGATATTATAGTCCTTTCGTACACACGGGATATTTCACACCTGTCATATCCCGGGATCGGCTCCGCCATAGCACGATTTTGTCCTCTTTGGGCCCCCCTCTCTGCCCTCACGATTTTGTTTCTGGGAGCTCGCAAGCAACTTTCCAGTGGATCACCCATCCTGGGATTGCTCTAGCCCCAACTCGCTTAACTTCGGAGTTTCCATAACTCCGAAGTCAATGAGCTCCCAAAAGGCCTCATGCTAGATGGAGGCGGGCATGTACATAGAAGGCACATCACCCCCTCTCCGTTGGTCGATGTGGGATCTTACAATCCACCCCCCTTAGGGGCCCTACGTCCTCGTCGGCACACTTGCACCACACGGCAGAGTGGCTCTGATACCAAATTGTCACATCTCGGGATCGACTCCGCCGTAGCACGATATTGTCCGCTTTGGGCCCCCCTCTCTGCCATCACGGTTTTATTTCTGGGAGCTCGCAAGCAACTTCCCAGTGAATCACCCATCATGGGATTGCTCTAGCCCCAACTCGCTTAACTTCGGAGTTTCCATAACTCCGAAGTCAATGAGCTCCCAAAAGGCCTCATGCTAGATGGAGGCGGGCATGTACATATAAGGCACATCACCCCCTCTCCGTTGGTCGATGTGGGATCTTACAACATCAATCTGGGTGATGTGGCCAAGTGGACCCCATCTCCAACACGGACAAAAAAATAATAAAAATGATTTACCTTTAAATAATTTAACAAATTAAAAATTCAATTACTTCTGTAACATCCTACATCGACCAATGGAGAGGGGGTGATGTGCCTTATATGTACATGCCCACCTCCATCTAGCACGAGGCCTTTTGGGAGCTCACTGGCTTCGGATTCCATGAGAACTCCGAAGCCATGGGAACTCCTAAGTTAAGCGAGTTTGGGCTAGAGTAATCCCAGGATGGGTGACCCACTAGGAAGTTGCTCGTGAGTTCCCAAAAACAAAACCGTGAGGGCAAGGGAGGGGGGCCCAAAGCGGACAATATCATGCTATGGCGGAGCGGTCCAGGATGTGACAACTTCTCTTGTCTCTTCCCGACTCACCCCACTATTCTCTATAGCCACCCTCTCAGAGACCCTAACCACCATTCACTGCCCCTCATTCACCTTACACCTCGCCCCTCACCACAAGCACCACCGAAACCAAGAAGTGTCACTCGCAGTGATTCCTTTAATGACAAAGTTGGGTGAAACATAAAAAATAAAAGAAATTAGAAATAAAAATACAGCCACCTCCAACTGAACCTTGCCGCCACCTACAACCAACATCTCTGACCACCCAGATCTTAAACATCATCCGAGCCATGCATGAGGGTGCTGATGTCATCAACTTCGGAGCCCGCTTGGGAGATTAGGACAAAGGAATTCGTTTTCCTACGAGCCTTGAAAGAAGCTGGAGGTCGTGAGAAGAATTCCGACGAATGGAGCCCACTTCAGAAATTCTTGTGTTCTTTGTGTATGTGTTGTACTTTTCGGTTGGTGTGTGTGCTTTATCTTTGTGTGGCTTGTGTGTGGTAGTTGCGTAGTCCATCAACGACAAGGTCTTAGAGTGTTTTCACACAACACAATTGTAGTTTTAGAGTATAGAGCAAAATGAAAGTGATAATGGGAGTAAGGATGAGATTGAGAGAGAGGATAAGAGGAAAGGATGGGAGGGAGGAGTAACAAAAGTGAAAACCAAAATAAAAAACTGAAATATATTTTAATTGTTTTCACTTTCAAGTTTTTGTTTTCACTTTTGTTACTCCTCCCTCCCATCCTTTCCTCTTATCCTCTCTCTCAATCTCATCCTTACTCCCATTATCACTTTCATTTTGCTCTATACTCTAGCAAAAAAATTGAAAACTAGAAACTAAAATTGAAATGGCTATCAAACAACCTAATTGTATTAATTCACTATGATAGTAGCCTCAAAGAATTGTATTTAATTAATTAAAACATCAAGGCATGTAAGTTTCCAAATCCTGGAAATTTGGAAGTTTCCATAAAGGACCGTGTCTCCATTGTCATTGGACTCTTGTAAATATGCCAAAAGACTACAACTCTTCAAACCATTAATTTCTCGAATGAAATAATAATTCTTTTTTTCACATCCGAAATTCAAATAGTTGTTTTGCAAATTCAGTTATCACATACTACTAGTTGTAGAAAGTCAAGCATGACGGAAAAGTCTTTTTTACGTGGAACTTAGAAAAAAGTAGGTGGCTGGAACTTTCCACTGGAAAAAGCATACAAATTTTAAGACGACCGGCGTTCACATGCATATTGCAATTTCTATATGTTCCTCGTCAAGGCTGCCGCGTCCAAAACTCCAACCAATTAACAAGTCTTTCTTCATTCTTCCTTACTTCTTCTGTAAGCTAAGTTGTCGCTCTTCTGTATTTATAGGCACCAATATTTCTTGCATCCTTGCAATTCTCCTCAGTGATCACCCACATACAGCACGATTTTGTAGAGAGAGAGAGAGAGAGAGAGAGAGAGATGGAGAGCAAGATGGTGATTGTTTTTGGTTTAGTTGTATCAATGTTCTTGCAAAGTGTAGCAGCACAGACAGTTCACGTGGTGGGAGATAGCATAGGTTGGACCATTCCACAATCTGGCGCCCAAGCGTACGTCACTTGGGCTGCAAACAAGAAGTTCGTGGTTGGCGATATTCTGAGTAAGATATTCCAACCTCTCTCTGTTTTATTAAGTTACAATCAGCTTCTTTTGTTCCTAGATCCTGAGGCGATTATATATATATGGAGTTTTAAATTACCCTTAGATTAATTAATAAATTAAGTATTAGTTTATTTTTACAAAGCACCCACTAATGTAGTGGTTTGGAGTATTTACTCCCTTATGCAATGTCCTAAATTCGAGTCCTGACATCTGTGTAGTGCGTGTGAGTTTAGTATATTATCGTTCCTCTCAATAAGAAAGCTCCTCAAAAAAGTATTAGTTTTTTTTTTTCTTAAAAATTACTTACCTCTCTTCTCACACTAAACATTTCTTAATAATTCTTCAGTTTTCAACTTCGCCACCAACGCACACGATGTACAACAAGTACCCAAAGCATCATTCGACTCATGCAGCTCGGACAACGCAATCGGCTCAGCCATCACAACTGGCCCGGCAAACGTTACGCTCCCCTCAGCCGGCGAGCACTACTTCATCTGCACTATTAGCACCCATTGCCAGTCAGGGCAGAAGCTGGCAATCACCGTCTCAAGCTCAGCTACCTCCCCAGGAGCCTCACCACCTTCTGTGCCTCCTCCACCTCCTTCTGCTAACTCTCCTCCTACTACACCTTCTCCGACATCAAACAACCCTGCTGCTTGTCCTCCAGAGCTAGCACCATCACCTTCCCCCACTGACCCCACTGGGAAGACCGCTCCACCACCCCAACCGGCTTCTTCATCCCGGGCTGTTTTCGCTAGTTTCTTTTTGTCGTTCTTGGCTCTTGTCATGGGTTTGTTCTTTTGAAGACCTCAAGAGATGGACCAATTTTTATTATTATCTTGGGGATCCATTAATTTTGATGTTTAGTATAATTTTTTATGGGAGATATAAGGGAACTATTATCCCTGATTTTTTCATATAGTCAAATCGTGATGTTTCTTTGACTGCATTATCAATAAAGGAACTCCCTCTGTTGAAAATTCGATCTCTGCCATATTCAAGTATAATATAATTGTAATATAATTGCCTACTCATATTAGCGTGATGAATTAGTGTGTTGAGACCTGAATGATAATCCAATAGCAAGCTAATCATTTTTTGTTCTTTGTCATCCGAATGACCTCATACATGTCAATAATGCATTTTGCGTTCATTTGAAACAGGCTAATACAAATACCAATCAAATGAAACATTCATAAGAATAGACCGTGGGGAATTAACCAATAATTGGTTTTGCACATTCCGTAACAATTCGTCATACAAAGAGCTAGCATAATTCGTCCTTCATAGTTTTAATTCGCTAACCTGTAGTACCTAAAAAAACTTTTAATTTGCACATTGAATGCAATCCACATATGGTTGTCTAGCTTGATATAAAGGGGTACAACTCGAAACTTACATAACAACTCTCACAAACAGCACGTCCACCTTTCCTTCCATAGGTTTGATTTGGAAGTTCGCTCATTACCCCGTCAAGGCACCTCAT